GACTAACCGCTATAAACCAATTTATTAAGGGAATAATAAATATAATATACGAGGTAACTCTTCTCCGTACAAAAGTCTCTTCGTTACGTAAGGCTAATAAGGAGCTTAGTAAGAGACGGAGAGCTAAAAAAACACGTGTGCAGCTTAGAGAGTTACTTACTATATAAGAGGCACAGGATCTACTAGATCAAAAGGCTATAAGTAAGTAGGTAGCCCAGGAGATACAATAAAGTGGTGGTGGTGCAGGGGGGTCTCGTACGAAAATTCGGTGCTATAGCGTGTGCGGTAAGCCTAGCTATAATGCACGTACATGCCAGGAGGCTGCAGAATCATCTGATTCATCTATTTCTAATTCAGTTATCGTTGTTTCCTAGTGTTGTGGTTGTGTAATTGAGGATAGCTGTAGTAGGGTGGTAGAAAGTGCGGCGCTCGCTTGTCTGCGGCGCTCGCTTATCATGCACGTTATACTTCCTTTTAGAATATTTTGATGATACCTTGCTTGGTGAGAAGAACCAATCGACGAGCCACACTGCCGCGATGTTAAAGTAAGTAAAATAAATAACATACGACCTCCTAATCTACGACTGCGATCAAATCTTCCGGGCATGGCTTCTATCGAGTGATGACTGACCTCGGAAAACAAGTCTTGGGCTTGTTTGGTGTTTTTTGTGGCAAAGGACAGTATCTAGTTCTTGTGATGTATTTACTGCACGGTGTGGTTCCTACGGTGAGTTCCTACAAGTCCCGACAGTTTCAAAATGCTTTCAGCATCAGGTAGGCTCCGGTTTCCAAGAATGTCGGGGAGCCTATAAGGAGCTTGTCCTTGGGCCCCTGGCATTGAACCACTAACCCCGCAACGTGACACTACTGACAGAACGGTGGTCAAAAAGCATGCACGCTGAGAGATTCCTTCAAGAGTACATGCCAGGTGCAACATCATTAACAAGACACTGCCCCAAATCCTTCGTCTGGCCCGTCTGGCTGTCTGCGTTCAGTATCTGCCCAAAACCTACAGGTTACACCGTGACACCTGACCTGATGTGCGAGCCATCATACATATCCTTCCATCTGCAACGCATCATTCCATAAAAGATTCGTGTTCCACGACAGATGTGTGGAGTATCCCTATGCCGCTGGACATCAGTCAGAGCATTCTGTCCCTTGTTGCATGTCCGCCAAAGCCGGCCTTCACACGTCACATGCTCCCAGAAACCACCCGTTGGGCACCGAGCCCTTCATAGCTGTACAGACACCTGTCCAGGTCACACAGCCCTAGGCCACGGGTTCATCTGCACCTTGGACAGCAACACCCGCATATTTCCTCTTGGTAGTTTCCTGTATTGGGCGTCTTTCACCTCCTGGTAACAACACCACCCAAATTTTGATGCGGCATATTTGTTAGTGGGTGAGAATGGCATGACCAAGTTAGAGACTTGGCATGTTTGGGCGTGACCAGCCGCAAAAGTTGGACGTGTAACCTTCCTCTCCTACCAGGTATTGATTCTAAAACATTGAGAAAACCAGTCAAAAGCATTGCTCGGTTTCTATCTCGTCAAGGAAGCGGGTACTTTTGGGCAGTCTAAGTGGACTCGAGTGAGCTACCACCTTGGAGAAAGTAGTGCCTCGTGATTGGCGTGGCTTATGATAGCACTCTTGCTAGACCTGGTTTTTGGGTTCTGTTTGCCTGGTCCCCGATGAAAAGCCACTGAGAACATGAATCAAACAACCCCGTAATCGAGCCTCATCACTATGAAACAGGTAACTGGTACTTCGCTACCTAAGCAGCTTCATAGCCGTCTAAATCCTGATGGTACTGTGAGGTTGGCCTGGTTCTCTCATTGTGCAGCCACGTATGGGCAAAGAATATGTTCCTGGTTAGAACCATAGGCATATCACACGGCGAAGCAATATCGATACGCGCATGAAACATGAGTGTCCATTCGGCACACATAACTTCTGACCAGCTACAATGTCTTGACATGCATGATGATGATCACTACCGCAGCGAAGCCACAAAGCGCGACTTGGGCGAACGCAATTCCTATACCTTACTAAATACTCGGCTACTGTGAAGCCCAACCCAAAGGAATCGATCCATGGTGCTGATTTCGGATTGCCCGAACCATCCAGCCTGACCCAACCCTCTCAATTTGTGCACAAACAACGTTTACGGGGTAGAGGTATACTGGTGATGTTTGAAGCGCACCGGAGCCTGGCACATGGTCTCAACTGACGGAGGTAGGTTGACCATTCACTGCAGTTTTATTTTCATCCAAGTAACCAAGGTAGACAGGTTCTGGACTTGCCAAAATTGTGTGTCACTCTTGGGCCCAAACATTATGCTTCTTCGCTGAAAAAAGGTGAAAACATAGAGTTGGGCATCCGTTTAAAATATTTTGATGGCGGTCATCTGCTTATAGATCATGGCAGCAAGGCCCACTTTCATGGGCAGCTGAATAGAAATATAACTTGGGGTATGTCTGGAATAATCTGTTAGTTATGATAGATATCGCTGCACAGTCCTGACAAGCCAGGAACGGTCCCATCTTACGCTTGAGCCCGAAAGTGTCTGCCTGCAGGAAACAATAACGACCTTGCCTGCCGCCGAGTCAGGTATTCTGCCCTTGCCAGTTCGACACTACACGATCAGCCACTGGCTACATTCCGATTACTACCTACCTGGTACATTACTTACCTACTCAATCACTGTTTGCTATGGTCTAAAACATGAGTCTGTTCATTGTAAGATCATTCGCCGCATTTTTCTAGGAAGCTTTTAAACTGACAGAGTTTCTACCTAGGGCAGCAAATCTGCTTCTTCTCGTCAGGGTAGTAATATTTACCGTGATAAGCACCCTTCCTTCAGCCATGGCTCCCGCAACAAGTATCGCGGTCGCGACCCCAAGGTCTCTGGTGCCACCCTAGTTGAAAATGAAGCTGGCGATCGACCTCTCACTGGCACCTCATTCTTATTTGTGGTCAACGAACTCAACAACAACTATGAGGCTCAGACTTACGGAAGCGAGCCACTTCGGGATCAGTGGTTGAACTTCATGCCCCCTGAACGCGCGGATGAGTACTTGGATGAATGGCCGGGAATGGTATTCCGGTATCTGCAGGAACCGCAAGGCGGCGTCATCACTCCGGCTGATGGGTATCGGTGGTGTGTTACCGAAACGAGAAACCAAACAGAAAAGAAGTTTGCTGACGCAGCCACGGTATCAAAACAACAGGTACCGCCCTGGCCGAGGACACGAAGGTCATATCGTTCGAGTCGATACGGCAGGCAACATCACCGGCCACCCCATTATTTGCCGTCAAGCGACCATTTTCTCCTGTAGCAACCACCTACCCGTGATTGTTGGGCCTGGTGACGCATCTCTTGGTAACTCGAGAGTTGTACGCCATGTCCTGGACAGCGACAACATGTTTTACTGGAGCCTCCTGCACATTAGCCGCTGGGATGATGGCTCCAACATCAGTTATGTCAACTCCGAGGGGCGAGGTGTGCCTTCTGTCGTCGGTAGAAACCCTTCTTGGATTCCCTCGCTCGTTCCTCAGGTGTATTGGAATCCAAATGCAAACCTGGTGTCAGGTGGGCTGTCTGGTGACTTGTCCGTCTTGATTGGGCTTATGGCTTTCCACAGCAGGGTAGGAAGGGCGAGTGACGTGTTCATCTCGCAAAAATGGCATCACAATCGGTGGATTGGAAGTCAGCACGCACCGACACATGGTAAGTTCATCGCTCTATGTGCCTCCACCCCCAACATGAAGAGTGTTTCTGAACGTCTGGCTAACGGCACAAATAGTGCCAAGAACCCAAGAGGAAAATCCGCGCGGCTTTTTTGTCCAAGTGTGTCTGGACAATCTGGTAAGGGGACTGGAGGACAGTGATGAGAACAACATCCGGGCTGAGGACTGCTTGCAGCATGTTTTGGCACTGGAATGGCACAGTGTTCTTGTCAGAGAGAACTGACCAAGATCAAACTAGGTACTTTCGGGTAGCTTTGCACCATTTATTCGAGCCTTATTTCATGACTCCGAGTAGAGGGCTGAGCACCGGGATACCTAGTAATTCAATATATATGGCGGTACTGGTGAATACACACATATTTTCTCTTGCATACCGAAGTCCCCAGCCGCATCCTGATGTCCCAGATAACCAAGCCGTCATCACGATTACCTCCCCAACAGCGGGTTGGCGATGTGCCATGTGGGATAAGCTTTTTGCATATTTCGCAGCTTGGATCTCCTTGTTTGGGCTGACTTATCATTGCCACACTTTGCCAGGCGACAAGACTATTGATTCCGAGCTTTCCACCACCCTCTACATGGTTGGCTAACGTCAAGGAGGCATTGGGTCGGTGAGTAAACACCCTTTCGGACTCGCTCACCAACATCCCGCCAAGTTCCGAGAATAAGCTATGTGATTTGTTTCCACTCCTGCAAAATATTTGGTTGGTGGCTCATGTTGGCATCCTACCTACTATCTGTAGTTGGAGCTCGGAAATCCTTTCGTTTCTCCAAGCGCCTACATTGAAAACCACCATCCGAACATCAAGAAGCCCAGAGTGTGATATGGATACCATCTACCTGTGTCCAGTAAGCCTGAATGCTGGCGGCACTGCACTGAAAAATAGCGTGGGCGCCATGATGCTTACCTGACATGTAGCTCTTTCAATCTGGTGGGATATCAGATATTTTCTCGGCAGCGGAGAACTTTGTCTACAAGTCTGATGGAGACAAACATCGAATCGTCGCGTTGAGCCTGGGTAGATTCACATGTGCTTATTTTTGTGTCTGGTGACTTTGGCCGAAACAGCTTCCAGAATCTTCCCTAGACAGGAATGGCAGGCGATGTCAGAGTTCCAAAACAGGTCGACAAATTCACACACCCAGGCAACATAGCACTAATGCATCCTGCTCAGCTCACATGGATGCATTGGGGGTCCCAACAAGAGTGTGTGTGGAGGCCCATCTGCGTCTCTGTTTCGCTACCAGCAATGGGTATTGGGATAAGGAATATCTTGATAGGTAGATCGCCAGGCTCAAACCAACCACAACAGTACCAACGGGTCCTTCGATGCATGACAGAAGTAGGTAGTGAGAAAGAGTTGCGACTGAATGTTTTGCTGGACCGAGCTTCAGCTCAACAACATCGGGCTTTGAGAACGCGGCGAGATAACCCAAAAAAAATCATACAGAGTATAAGCTACGTACCTAGGTACCCGATCAAATCTGTGCTTCAAATTCAAATACAGATGATGGAGGGGTGAGACGGATGACGTTATGACAATGCTTGGGAAGAGTAAGCAGCCTGGCACCCGACTCCTCTATGGCTTCTCCGGCTGGCGGTGTGGGAATTACGTCTCTCATTGCCGTTGCAGATAACGATCAGACCAATAGTCTGCAGGGCGAACACTTCAAGGTCATGTTCAACTAGATCACGAGCCAGCTGCAAGAATCTGCCTGGCTCCTGGCATTCCAGTCTCGAGAGACCCATGTATCTTGACAAATAGCAGTTCTTCAATCACGTCTGACTTGCATGCTCTCCGATTAAGTGATGTGCTGAGTAAAATGAAAAAATCCAAAGTACCGAGCGGACCGATTCCCTTTTGCGATCAGGCACCCGACCCGTAGCTTGCAAGCAGCTGCGATGTGTCAGGCACCGAACAATCAGGTGTCATTGGCTTCATGCCACGCTGTTCTCTCTTGATAGGCTACCCACTGAGCATGAAGAGGGAGCCAGAGAATGGTGGCTGACCATCAATTAACCAGTTTGAGCGTAGAAACGAAATCTTACTTGCATGATCTCAGGTCAGGAACGAGAGAGCTCAAGGAGTCAAGAGCAAACGTGAACTTTCATGGAGTGTGGCGTGTGGCAGTGCAATAAATTTTACCTATTTGCTCAGCATCATTCCTAGTACCTTTTTTTTGTCCATAACGCGGCGTCGAAAAAGATGGTGTGCCTTCTTTTGCCATATATCCAGGCAGGTGTGTCTGTGCCTGGTCTTCCAGATGTGTACTTATCCCTCAGCAAGCCCAGAAGATTTTTGAGTTGCGATTGAGTCCAAGGGCCTCCCATCTTCATCTCTCTTCCAAGTGCCTACCTCGGTAGGTACCTTGGTCAAAGTCAGGTTCACGATGGCACCCACCATCGAAGAACTATATCCCGAGTACACTCTTACTTCTTCTATCGACAAACTACGTTCCGAGCACTATGCTCACCTTGATGAGAAAAACCATGTTTATCTTGACTATACCGGATCAGGCCTTGCCTCTGCTTTTCAGCTGACCCACTCTTCAGTTCGACTTTCATCCACGCTTTATGGCAATCCTCACAGCATCAACCCCTCCAGCCAAGCATCCACCAATGCCATCATAGCTACGCGGCTCAAAGTCTTGCAGCACCTGAATACGGATGCGGAAGAGTATGAGGTCATCTTCACAGCCAACGCCACAGAGGCCGCAAAACTTGTTGGAGAATCGTACGCATTCACTAAGGGAACGAAGTTAGTGTTGACGGCGGATAATCATAATTCCATCAACGGACTTAGGGAGTTTGCAGGAAGGAAGGGAAGCAGTACCGTTTACATACCCTTCTCATCTCCCGACATGAGAATCAATGACGAGGATTTCATAAAGGCTCTTTCGGCGGCACGACCGGGGCGGAAAGCTACTCTGAGTACTGGAATCAACCGGTTGGCCAAATCACTTCTGGGGTGCCAGCCTTGGAGAAGAAAAACAGGTGACGCTGCCGGCCGCGAGGATGGAATGAAGCGCTGTTCCACGTCAAATACCAATCCAAACCAGGATGCTTCTTGTGACAACCCTGCCCTTTACAAGGCCTTTCTCCGGCCCTCTTGCCAATCGTCACTAGTACCTCCACAAAGTGCCAGCACCGCACCGGCAAGACCACTGGAAAAAACGACGCGCCATGGACTCTTTGCTTACCCAGCCCAAAGCAACTTTACCGGCGTCCGTCATCCGTTGGCGTGGGTCACCTACGCCCAACGCCAAGGGTATGATGTGCTGCTCGACGCAGCCGCCTACCTGCCTACCACTAGGCTCGACATGTCTATTACCAAGCCCGAGTTTCTCATTATCAGTTGGTACAAACTCTTCGGGTTCCCTACCGGTGTGGGCTGTCTGGTTGTGAAAAAGGAAGCCCTGTCCAGGCTCGTAAGGCCCTGGTTCTCTGGGGGCACCATTCAAGCTGTCACGGTGGGGGTCCCTTGGCATCTGAAGGCGAGGGGGGCTGAGGGATTCGAAGATGGGACAGTGAATTTCCTGGGCATTCCTGAGGTGATGTTTGGCCTGGAGTGGATCAATGCAGTTGGCCTGCAGGTTATTGGGCTGCGAGTCAGGTGCTTGACTGACTGGTTCTTGAAGAGGTTGGCCGCCTTGAGACACTCGGACAGGACACCAATGGCTAGAATATACGGACCAGAAAATATGGACATGCGAGGAGGCACCGTTGCTTTTAATCTGCTGGACTCTGGCGGTAAGGTTGTAGACGAGCGATTAGTCGGGCAAGAGTCGGCAGCGGCCGGAATTTCACTCAGGACAGGGTGTTTTTGTAACCCTGGGGCCGGGGAGGCTGCCATGGGCTTGACTGTGGCTTCTCTGCGTAGGCTGGCCACGGCTACAGCGCAGATGAGAGGGATGGATGACTTTGTCGAGGTTCTTGGCTTGCCATCAGCTGGAGCTATCCGCGTCTCATTCGGGATCGCTTCCACTTCTACCGACGTTGATAGGTTTTTCGAGTTTGTGGAAAAGACATACCGGGATCGAGTGACAACCTCTGAGGGTCTTTTCCCGAGAGAGTCCTGCTAGTCACGGCCTTACCATGGTGTAGTACCTTACTGTAACTTGAAGAGAAACTTCCATCTGCTTTGGCTTTTTTTGTGTTTTGTATATGTCATGAGAGTACAACCAACCATTTGACAAAGTCGAAACCGGCCTTCTCGATACTGGCCTTTCACCTAACAACCCATGCCCACGTGCCTATGCGTCACCACGAGCCAACCGCTTCCGCTTCCCTTTCCCCTTTCCAGATCCACTGCCAGTGTTCATCACGGTAATCGTATGTACAAATCTCAACGTTCCCTTCTCGACTCGGAACTCGTGACTGTCCGGTATGCCGCTGAAGCTCAAGAAAATGGAGACGGCGCCTACCGTCTCGTCAATCACATACCTCCGGTCCACCAGCTGCACACCGCTCGGGATGCCCACGTCGCACCTGTCATTTTGCCCACCGTTGCCTGTATAGGCGCCTCCCTCCAGTCTAGCACAAGGCCTGCCCCACGGCACAACGACAGACTTGTCATGAAAGATGTCACAGTACGCATCCCCAGCGGCCTTGATCACCTCTCTCGAGTCTCTATCTGCCTCGGGAATCGTCCCCCAATTCTCACGGGATGCCCAGCGCAGGGTTCCGGTTGCGTTGAAAAGCCAATCGCCCGTGGTGGTGGACAAGAGATCAACCTTTGTGATCTGTGCTGACGTGAAAAACATCTGCACGCCAATCACGTAAGGCTGCGCGCCCGTGGCCGAGATAATCTCGGTATAGGTGGCGCATTGTGTCGTGTCGAGGCTGTGGCGTGAGAAGTCGATCTTGGTAGCACGGGTCAAGGAAGAGCCTGACGTGAGGGAAGCATTGCGAAAATTCTCGTGGTAGACGGCTGAGGGAGAAAGCGGCTGTAGCAGCGCAGGGTTGCCGGCTGTCTGCGCGGCGAGAAGGCTGTCGGCTGCCGTCTTGAGGAAATCTCTGGTGCAGGCCGGCTGCGCTTGCACGCCAGACCCCTTGATCACCAAGAGGGTCGAGAGGAGGAGCGAGGTGAGTGAATGCATCATCAGGGTCGTGTTGGAACACCAGGCAACTGCTATCCGCGTGTAGAAAGCACGAACAGGAGAGGTGCAAACCGAGGACTTGTCTAAAAGCGCCCCTATTTATGCACTGTCCATTCGAGGCTAATGTGGTGAACGGGTAATATATCAACCCCCTGGTTCCCCAACTTCAATCAATATTGAAGGGACGTTATGAAGAGAGGGGAGACAGTTTCGGCAGTTTGGATCACGTTGGTTGATTGGTAGGGAAGCGTTGATCCAAAATACATTCCCCCTCTGTCACCGGCCTCAAGCCGGTGTGGCTGTCTTTGGTTGACTTGTTGCCTCTTGGGCTCTTTTTGCCAACAAATCCCTGTCGTTTTCGAGGACTCCCAGCAGCCCATGAACCTTCGATGTCGTGGAAGTAAGCTTTGGCATACATCTTCAAGCTGCCCAACTGAAAAAAAGGCAAACTCAGCGTAATAGAATGCCCAGTATTATTAAATTCGTATCCCATTTAAGTGGTCAAAGTGGCCCCCCTCTCCATCACCCAATGCCAGACACATACCGGGCCACTGTGATCCTCCTCATGTTGCTTCTAGTACCCAACTCTCTTGTACGTCAAAGGTCGTGCTGTTGACTCCGACAGGACCGACTCACACGGCGTCTGGTAGTCTGACAGCAATATCTCCCGATTGCGTGATGTAACGCACCCATGGGAGTGATGGGTATTGAAGCTAATGGACGAGTCAATGAGAACACGGTCAAAAACGCAAACAAGGGCAGAGCAAGCACATACCTTGGGCTCTGTGATCTTGAGGTAGCGCACTTGGATGCCGCTGGTGGTGAAGTAGGGAATCTCGAACTTGACCTGAATGGGTCGCTTGGCACCCTTGCCAGGAGCTCCCACGCCACCCATGCTCCCCCCGAAGCCACCCGTCATGCCACCGCCATGCTCGTCGTCACCTCGCACACTGGGTAAGCCGAGCTCGGCACGCATGAGAAACTCCTTGCCGCCACCAAACTGCTTGATCTTCCAAACGATGGCACTCTGCTCTGGCGCATAGTGCACCGATCCGACGTTGGTTCGGAAGCGTGGTGTATCGGCGTCGTCGGGCACCGGAACAATAATCTCGACGTTGTTCGCCGTACTGCGGCGCTTGAATTGCGCCCTGGCCTTGAGCATGTATTCTATTCGCGATCCACTGTGCGACTCGACAACACACTCGACCCAGATGAGCGGCTTGACCTGGGTGTTGAGACGATATGACATGAGCTCAAATTCTCCGTCAGGGGGGATGAAGCTGATGGTTCGGTCGTTCTCGAAACGCGACAGACGCACACACTGGTGGAATTTGACATCCTCCATCTCAATGGCCTTGCCACGCGTCGTCCGCCCCGTGCTTTCGAACATGACCTTGTCGTTGAGGCCCAGCCGCAGCTCGGGCATGCCAGACAAGTAACACTTCATCTTGATGGCACCCAGAATTTCCGATCGCAACACATTGCCGTTGGCTGACACGAGAAGGTTGAGCGATTCAATAACATCCAGAAACACCTCGTTTTTGCGGTAGCGGATACCCTCGGAGCGCCACGACACGGCGTTGGTGACAGCAATGGGCGGACGAGCCTGAATCTCGAGCTTGTGCGACTCCTGGGTGATGTACTCTTGCAGAATCTTGGACTCGGTAGTCTGGGGGTAGCCAAAGTCCATCATCTCGTCGAGAAGCTCGTATATAATGACAAAGTTGTCTCGAATAGACTCCTCCTCGAGCGCCTTGAAGTACTCGGTAAACACCTCAACAATCTTGTGGAGAAAAAGGAGAATCTCGGCGGCATTGGTGTTTCGTTTCGTCAGGGCGAGTAGATAGAGGTTATTGTGTCTGATGTAGAGGTAGTTGATACCCTCGTGGGAGAAACAAGGGGGGACGGCCGACGACTCTTCTTCGGCTTCGCTGAGGAGGATGGGGAACTTTTCGACGGCTGACATGGGTATATCTCCACGATAGTTTCGGGCGAGGAGGGTTTTGCCCTTTAGGTCGAGAAAGAAGATGGCTGAAGCCATAGTACAGTGACGGTATGGGGATGGCGATGGGAACGCTTCGCAGGAGCTCCCGTCGAGAGCGATTGGGGGGGATCGGTCGGGCTGAGAGACTTTAGGACGCGGATTGAATCGTAATTGTTGCTACAAGTACTCCCATTACCCAAAGCAATGGAGTGATGGCCGTCGGTGTTGTCGTCGCTATCTTGTCGTCGCAGGCGTTGTTGTGTCGTTGAACAGCCAGCTGCTAGACACCCTGGAAGGTCCCGTCGCTATTGTCAACCAAGGAGATGCCACAGGCCACAACCCTGACGTTGCTCCATTGTGGAGCGTGCGCTGGCCAGGCTGGCCAGGAGGGTTCTGAAGCTTAAGCCTGAGGCACTGTGGCGCCAGTGTGGAAGTGCCTTCTAGGTTCTTGTGGCTTGCCGCCGGTGAAAGGCAAAACCAGGCTTCCGGCTTGGCTTTCTGTGCGGCCTGGGCATGCTTTTGAAGGTGGGGTTCATGGACATGGAGCGACAGGTGGTCAGTGCCCTTCGGCTACCCCACCAATTGGTTTTGCTCAAAAGAAATTCTCACTGCGTTTTTTTCTCCTCTTCCTTTTCCTTTCCTCAACGCGCCCATTAGACAGTGCTATCATCATGCGCACAACAAGAACCGGCATTCTGTCAGTTCCGAACCGTGCCGCCGTGGATGAATATGCGATTTCGAGGCGCGGAGATGAAGGATTTTCCGCTAACGGTTCCATAAGAACTGGCCGAGTATCTCTCTTACTGCTTGGCCGGTGTCAGAGGAACCGGACATTTTTGGCTCTTGCCAATTCTCACATGCTACAGTACATCTTGAGGTGACCGGATAACCACGCCCGGAGCCTCCTTCCACGTACACTCTCCATGCAAGGGACCCCTCCGAAATCCCAACAAAAAAAAGAGCTAGGTGAACTTTTGGGCAATCAAAGTGGGTGGCACCGTGGACAGCTAGACAGCCACACAGCCCTGGATGGCGGAGGACTGATGTCGGGCCTGATGAATGAATTCCGTCAGGAACTTTGCATGTGATGGTGGACAGTGGAGCCTTTCCTGCAAGTCTGTGACAAAGCACCTGAGCGCGTTCAGGGCCGAGAGCTGGCTCCAAGATAAAGCCGCTCTACATCTCTTCAGTCCGACATGTGCTTTTCCACCTGGAAACAGGTTCCTTGCCAGGCACTGAGTGCACCTCACTATCTGACCTTCTTCTTCGCACTCAGAACATCTGAAAGCAGCAAATTTGATGAAGACTGTGCGTCAAGCTTCTGCCGGGCTGCACATGACGTGTGTTCGGTACCGTATGTAAAAGTAAAATACACTCCGTAAGCTATCTGCGTGTCTGCTACCCTGTCTGTGTTGCACAGGCCGTCTTCGAGAGAAGCTCAGAACCAGAACCCCGCCTTACCCACGTTTGGTGGAGCAATGGCAACGTCTTGGTTGTTTCTTTTTCGTATCTTATTCGGCTGGCTTTTCTCTTTCATTTCTATGTACCTACCTACACTATGTCCCGTGGACTATGGACGGAGGCATGCACTACTAGGTATAGAGAAGGATACGTCCACACGAGGCGCCTTCTCAGTACCCGTGACAATTCAATATGGATTTGACGTACGTGCTACATTTGCAGCCAAAAGTGCATTTTACGAATCAACCGGAATTTGCGAATCAACGAACCTGACCATGGTGGAAGCCATGGCCAGTGCCGATTTTGAAGGCCTGACAAGTAGTGTGGGTTCAGGCACGATTGAAGGTAGCGCACCCGTGCCCGTGCCTGCGGGAGGGAGCATGTGCAAATCCCCAGGCTCACATGGAGGGAAGGAAGGGTGCGTTGCCGAAAATCCTGCCCGCTCTCTCGCCTCAACCCTTTTCCAAGAAGCAAAGAAGCCCCTCCCCAATCCGTCCCCTTCCATCCATCCAATCAATCACTCACTATTTCACTAAACCACCTAGTGTTACCTACTGCCCTTTTGCGGCTTCTCTTCCTAGCGGACACCTACCAGTCGCCTGACGCCAATTGCCAAGTGTCTAACCCGAACCCCGGTCAGCTAATGCCGGTCTTCTTTGCCCGTGCTTGAATTGCTTGATTATTCATTCATTCATTCATTCATTCATTGATATTATCGGCCCCCCTCCCCCAACCCTCCCAGTCGCTTGACCATTATTGCTTCGTTCTTCAATCTGTTACTCTTCCTCCCCTCCCCTCCTGCCAACGCCTGCTCCCACATCACGTCCGCACGTCCGCTCCCCAACCAGCACCAGCTCTCCAGCTATTACTACCCTGCGCTTGTAGCATCTGACACCGACGATCCAAGTTCCATCTCCAGCGAACAGGTCCCGAGCAGGCGGAGCGCTGATTCGCGGTCTGGTCTCTCTGAACCATCCAGCAAAACCTCAGCCCTGCGACTCCTCCAAATGACGACGGTCTCTTAGCAGCGAATCCGCTGAATTATAGCCTCTGCAGTAGGAGCCCCCGGTTGTGCACCCAGGCCCGCGTTGCTGGGAAGGGCACCTCCGGCAACATGGATCACATGCTGGTGCTGCCTCCTCCGTCGCAGTCCCCGACACCCTCGCAGCTAAAATCACAAGACGCAAGTGCCGCTGCCTCCTATCCGGACTACGAGCGCCGCTCAACGCCAGCGGCGCTCCACGAACCAACTTTGACGATGCACCCGTCCCACCTAAACAGCCTGCCGCTACCGCCCATCTCCCATCCAGGCGACCCAACCTCGCGATCCTTCCCCCACCACACTGCCGAGCTGGCCCCGATCCAGCCGCCGCACGAGAAGCCTGCCATTGGGGCCGCGCAAACTCTGCCGTCACTCTCCTCCGTCACTGGCGCGCAGACCCCTCGCCTGCCCTCGCTGTCTGCCGCCTCAGAGTCTTCGTATTCTCCCCTGTCTACGGCGAGCACATCGACAGCAATCCCCGCGACCACAAACAAGACGATCGCTTCTCCCAGTCTCCCCATCAATCATTGGCCGAGCCTGAATCCCTTCACCACATACTACACACCGAGCCACGTGCAGGGTTCCGAATCGTCCATGAACGCGGACGTGACCAGCGGCAAACCAAGTCACCACAGGGCTACCAGCGTCAGCCTCGATGACCCGGGGGTGCGTGCCGCCGCCGAGGCTCTGGGGCGCCTGCGAACAGGTATGTGCCCGAATCTTGTACTTCAACATGTGTCAAGGCAGCGCCAGTGTGTGTAGTGTCTAGAAGCTAATTTGATCTGGTACCTGGAAAAGTGGACACCATGCCCCACGACAGCGACGGCCGGCGCAATCGGACTCCCGAGGCGTACCAAGTGGGCACGCCCAACTCCCAGGAGAGCTCCAGCGAGAGACAGCAGGAGCCCCTGCTGTCATTGATCACTACGTCTTACCCCAGCATCGCCCCTGTTGCGTCATATCTAGAAAGTGCCACGTCGGTCTGCAATACGGCCTATACAAACTCCAAAAACTATTCGCCCGTCCTCAGAAGGAATGCCGAGTACATAGAGGACCGAGTCGTGAAGCCGGTCGCCAAGACTGTAGGGAGATATGGCGGCCACGGGCTCAGGTGGTGGCTGCAGAAGCCGGGCAGGAAGCAGCGCTCACCGTCCGACTTGGAAGATGGGCGACAGGGAGTGAAGCGACGGAAGGGGGACACGGACAGAGAATCAGCCATCGCGGCCCGCGTCATGGCCGATTTTGACATAGGTTCCAAGGATCGACGCACCTCGGTCAGCACGGTCGACACGTTGCCTGCCTATGACGACCAGAGGTCGCCGGCCTACACCGAGAGGGCTGACGAGCAGAGGGGGCCGACCTCTCAGGATGAAGAGTCTGGGAGCTATAAGCTGTGGGTTACGACGTCCAGTCTCCGCGTTGCCATGCAGGATGAGAGCAAGAAGCGTCTCCGGGTTCTCATCGGGGTGCTGGGCAACACCAACGGGCGGATCACTGACTTCTTCGAGAGCCTGACCAAGGCGGTGGAGGAGTATGATCGCTCCATCGCGGCAAATCGCGAAGATGTTGCCATGGATGGCCAAGACGAATACAGTCACAATGAGCTCTCGACACGCATCATGACCCTCGTTGACGGCATAACCAAGACGAGCGCAGCGACGGTCGATATGGTCAACAAATGCGCTGCGAGTGCCCTGCCAGATAATGTCAAGGCCTTTGTGGCTCGTCGACTGATAAGCTTGCCCGCGCAGTGGAAGCTCATGGCGTCGCAAGAAGGGCCGGACGCGCCCAGGGAAGGTGGCGACGAAGCAGCAGCAATCCGTCACAGAGCACACTCGGCATTGGCGCTGGCCAAGGTGTCTCTCCAGATTATGACGCAAATCACCGAAGTCCTCAACATGACGCTGAACGCTGTTGAGGAATGGTGCGAGAACCAAAACAAAAACGAGAGCTCCCAGCCATCTTCCCCAATGGGTGTTCAGGGGCCGGTGGGCGTAGATGGCGACGTCAAGATGTCAGATTGAAGAGCACCGAGGGGCGGGGAGCAGGCTTGCTACCCTATCTGTACCCACAACAAACTAAAAAGAATATGGATCGAGCAAAGGCCAGGCCTCCAAAAGCATTTATCCTCATCAACCACACGTCTCCTACGTACACAATCAACATTTTTCTCTATGTATCATTCAGCCAACCCCCCACGCCACAGACTATTCATTCCTTTACCTGAGTCATCTTTATTGTATTTATTAAGTCTTCCGAGGTTTTGATCGGTTGTTCTCTCCGCACAGTACAATCGCTTCTTCCCTTCTTGCCTCTTTTCCTTGTCGCAGACTTCTTTTGCCGATTGGTTTTCATATTTCAGGTTTCAATAGACCGACCGGATTTCTAGGAAGGAAGGCTCTCTTTGATGGCGAGAGACGCTCGGTATGGCTGGAAAACAACTTGAGGTTGACAGTTGATAAAGCACACACACGAGGGTGGATAATAAATCAGAGACCCTGTGATAGCCTATATCCAAAATTCTTCTAGGATCAACCGCTCCGTGCCACCTTGGTGCAAAGATGCACTTTGAGAAGGGCACATTTTCGCCTTTTTGCCTGCACAGAACATTGGCGTGGGTCAATAACCCACGCAAATACATAACACACGAAGGCGCATAAAGTGTATATCTCGCGTATTGCGTATCAAGGAGTATATTTCAAAATCAGAGAGCACCTCCTAGTCTGCAACTATCCCAAACAGAAAATAAACGTCAAAATGAACCATTGAAATACTAGATGAGCAATCACCATATTCGGAAGGGGAAAACAGCCAGGAATGAGTAAAGAAGGAGGGAAGAGACAGTGGACAGCAAGCATTTTGAAGGCCACCTTGCAGACACCAGACATAATACCCGACAACAATGTCGCAATAAACACCATATTTGATGATGAAAACCCCCAAGACAATGGGGGAAACAGAGAAAATCAAATACAGCTCGCTGGGTCCGGGGTATAGATATAGTGCGAATATCCGTAAGGATCGCTGACCAGGTTGCTGCTCGAGCTCATGCCGTACGTCGTCGTGGTGTCCGAGACGTACGACAGAGCATTGGCGTTTGCCTGGGCATTGATCATGTTGGCAAAATGATTGGCCTGCAAAGCCTCCTGATGATCGGCATAAGAGCTTGTCAGGGAGTGGGAAGCGTCGCCATAAGTGTCTGGGTAACCTGCCCCATCGCCTTGTTCTCCCGGGGCTTCACAGCTTTCTCCAGAGTCTGGGGAAACAACGGCTTCCTCACCACCCCCGCTACCAAAATCCATCTCGCCCACGTCCTCTCCCGTGCTGGCGGCGATCAGCAGTCTCGTGAGCCCCCCAACGGCAGCCAACGCTGTCATGCCCGTCCCGACAGTCTTGAGGGTGGAGCTGTTACCTCCCCCAGACCCGGGCGCGTTGATGCCTTTATTCAGTGTGGTAGGGTCGGCGGTTGTGATCTGCTGCCATGAACCAGCTGAGGGGCCGGTGGGAGCAGGCGGCGGAAGAAATGAGCCTCCTCCACCTGATCCCCCTACCAAAGCAACAGTTGGCGCAGGCTGGGGGTGGTGCAAGTAATGTTGCTGCTGCTGCTGGTGCTGCTGCTGGTGCTGCTGGTGCTGCTGCTGTTGGTGCTGGTGCTGGTGCTGGTGCTGCTGCTGCTGCTGCTGCTGGTGCTGCTGGTGTTGTTGAAGGTGATGTCCGGGAAGTGAGTAGTGCGGCTGTGGGTGTGAGGGAAGAGACAAGGGCGAAGCTGATATCTGAGGATAGCGAAATTTTGCCAGCGGTGGTGGAGGTGAAGAGGGTGTCTGGTTTGAGGCAAAGACGTGCGGAGTTTGGCCCTGTGAGACAGGAGCAAGTGCGGCTGGGCTCTGGCTCTGGCTCTGATCTTGGCGCGCTGGCGGCACAAAAGGGATAGCAGACTGCTGGTGGGATGCCGTGTTCTGTGCGTGGTGGTGTGAAGAAGCCCAGTACTGTGGTGTGTACAGCGGCTGTGGGCTTGTCGTCTGCTGGGGGACCACAATGCCCGCCTGCCTCTGTCTTCTCTGCTCAGCGGCCCGCACCGCAGCCACCTGGGCTTTTGTCGCGGCCTCATGAGCACTCGTGGCGGCGCTTTTGAGGGCCCCGCCGAAGCGGCTTGCCGTCTTCTTGCTCCACTTGACCGTTTCTTTGCTGAATACCGAGCTGGCAAAGTCCCCGAGTTTCTGGCCTGACGAATGGCTACCAGGTATGGGAGGGGGTGATGTGGTGCTGGAGACTGACGGAGTGGGAAGACTGTGTGTGGGTGAGACCAACGGAGCGGGTTGAGGATGGTGGGAAGCGTATGACTGAGGCCATGACGGGTAGGCGGCAGGTGTGTATACAACACCCGGAATACCAGGGGTCTGGGACGGCGAGGGAAGACCTGCACCGACGGTGGTAGATGGCGGGCCCGCATGGGAAACTGCTGCTGAATGGGGAGCGTGCAGAGGTATCAACCCCTCATGGTCCGGTGGCGGCTCCCTCTCGACCGGAATCAGGCCCTGATCGAAATCACCACTAGCTTGAGGCCGTGGAGTCGTTGGCATCGAGCCCTCAAGCTCGGCACAGAAAGTCGGCGGCGGCGGGATGCTCGACGCAGGCCTCACCGGCTTCCTCCGAAGGGAGGATTGCACACTCAAGTTGGCCACGGCAGGTATCAGCCCGTCCATCTCGCTCATCATGTGCGGCGTGATGGAGTGGAAAGAGTATCAAGAACGGCAAATACAAAAACCCCAAGGTCGGCTCCCCGCTGCCAAGAGCCGGCTGAAGAACACGTTGATGTGCGGCTGAGGTTGGTATTTGCCTAAGTTGGTTAGGTAGGTACCTAGGGATTTGTAGCGGCTGGGGGGTTTGTAGGATGTGTGGGAGCTGAGTGATCCTTGGCGTTGTAATAGGTCTGCAGGTCCTTTTGTTGCTGTTGATGCCATTTTTGACTTTTGGGAGGAAGTGCATAGCCTTTAGGAGGTTCTAGCGGGCGAGGATGAAGGAACATATAAGCATCACGGCGCGCTTGTGAAAGCCACCCAGCTTTGGGACCCGGGGGCTTGGGATCGTTGCGGAAACCGTGCACCCATTTGTCGTGGTGAATGATCCAGTTGAATTCGTTCCAAAGGTATAACGTATATTATAAGCGAGCGACCAATATAAGCGAGCGACCACTTTTTCACAACCTTTATATCATTATCCTCAATTACTACACAACCATACTAAGAAGCAACCATAATTACATCCGAAATAGCTGAATCAGACAATTCTATAGCCTCCTGGCAAGTGCGCGCATTATGGCCAGGCTTGCCGCACACACCACAGCACTGAACTTTCGTACGAGCCCCCCCCTGCACCACCGCTATCCGGCTGTATTTCTTCCACTGCCTCCCCACCCACGGCCTTCTGGTCCAGTAGATCCTGTGCATCTTGCACAGTAAGTGATCCTCCGAGCCGTACACGTGTTTTTTTAGCTCTCCGGCGCTTACTTAGTGCCTCATTGGCCTTACGGAGCGAAGAGACCTCTGCCTGTAAGAGGGCCACTTGGTGCATTACAGCTATCGTACCCTTAGTAAATTAATCTATAGTACCTAATATTAAAGTCGGGGAGCTATTTTGATGGTTGGTAATGCGAGTCTTGATAAGCGTGGAGTATAAGTTGGCTTCTCGGGGGTTTTATAGTATTTGGAATACTCAAGGGAGTGCCGTGCCCGGCCATTAAGGATGGGGGTATTAGCGTACGAAGCTTTATATCCAGCTTAGAAAGTACCCTCTCTAGATCGTATAATATAAAGCTAATACTTATAAAGCTACCCTATATATTCTTCTCCGTTATAAAGGCGAAAAAAGCCTCGCGGAAGGCACAAAGAAACTCGAGCTTACTTATATAGTTAATATATATGCGCATTAAGCCCTCGATTTAGCGGCCGTACGCCTATTTTAGCGGCCCAAAGCAGCTAATATCGAGTAGCTGGAGGAGGTAGGAGGAGTGTAGAGGCATGTAAAGCGTAATAATATTATTTTACTAGTAGTAACGTTTGAATTTAATTAAGTAGTAGCTTTCGTAATTATCGAGGATTAATAACCGGTATTTGCTTTTCGTACGAGACGCTATATAATAATCGAAGTACTTAATTTAATTTAGATTTACCGGATTAATAGTTTAATTATTATTGATAATTATAATACGTTAAGTAAATAGTAAATTATATTCGGTATATTAATTAGTAAAGTAGTATTATATAATTAAAATAATAAAAGGTAGGATAGTTTAGCCAAAAATATTAACTCCTTAGATTACCGTTATTTATTTACGGTTATTAAGTTAAGCTAATTTTACTTTACTAAAGCCGTCCGAGATTATAACTATTATACCTACGAAGATAATATTTATTATAAACCTAGTTTCGTCGAAGTTATAAATATCGTTATTTATAATACCGTATTTAGCTTTGGTATTCCGTACGAGCGTAAACCACTCGGTAATAACCTTCGGATCTTTATACTTAGCCCTCTAGTAATCGTATTTATATGTAAAACGCGTACGGAGCTGTGGCTAGCGTTTGACGAAGTTGTGTGCCCAGAGCTTACCAACAGGGGGCGCGTCGCGTACGCGCAGTAGTTGGTTGGCCATATCTTCCACACCACGTAACTTTGGTGGAAAAGTTCGCGTAGATAGCTCAATAATATAGTAAACAATAGCCTCCTCTTCGGATTGAGTAAGCTTCTTCGATCTGGGCGTAGTATCGCGTCGTGCAGGCCGGCCGGCGCGTCGGTGTCTAAGCGTACTGCGATCGACGTTATATATCTTGGCTGCAGCTAATACACTTAGATTTTTATCATTTCGAAGAGCCTCAAGGGCTAAGATTATATGGGCTTCCTTTGAAGTAGATGGCATTTTGGAATGTTGAGAAAATGAGGTGTTGAGGTTGAGGTTACGCGTCGCGTGAAAAAGGTGGTCGCTCGCTTATATTGGTCGCTCGCTTATAATATACGTTATAGTCTTTACATCTTTTGGCAGCTTCCGGACAAAATTCTTCGTTGCCGGGTCTATAACATAGGAAGTCGCAAGATTACCGGCGTGTATGTCCCGGTGGACCCAGAGCATAAAGGCAAACCTGAACACGTCCCACCTGGTCTGATCCAGTTGTTGCATTTCCTCATTCCACTCCGTTTCTGTCTGAGCCCCCCAGTCTGGAAAAGCCGATCAGCAAGCTGAGACGACACAACACAACACACCAAGAGTGGACTCACTATACAGCTGGCATGTCCGCGCAAACAATCTTTACGTAGTCATGGAAAAGAGGACGCCTATTGTCGGCGGGCCTTCCAAAGATTTGGGCTGTTACCTCACCTCTGAGGGTGTGCCAATTGTCCCTCCATGAATGGTCGGTGTGACTCCAGCTGTTTTGCCCGTGCGCCGTGTTAAAGTTGAAGCAAATGAATTCGGCGACATTGAAATATTTTTCAATGAATTTAGCATGGCTCATCAGCTTCTCTCGGGCCGCTATGCGATTTGGACCATTTCGATTCTTGTCAGTGCGGCCATGGTGCAAGCATTCACCTGTGGTGTGGGCATTATGTTAGTTTCTGTTTGCAAGTACAGCATAAGATCTTGGTCACGAGATCACTTACGAATGTACCTGGCCTCCACGGGTTCTAGGCCATACATGGCTTTGAAGATTTGGTCGTGCACCATCTGCCAGCTCCTCTCATCCGCCGGGGGCCGTGGTGTGGTATTCATGCCGAAAACCGTTATGAAGTCCGGCCCGTTCGGGGGTTGGGGGGGGTAGACTAATACGGGACTGAGAGTATCACGCGCCGCTTCGCCGTGGCGATCCAGAGCCAGCTTGTCAGCTACAATTTCGCAGTCCATGAGAAAGTCGGCCCCGTGAAAGCGTCTAGATAAGGCCGTTGCGCGGATGGCAGATGTGCCTGTGGAGAACGGCTGCGGCACGACAATCTCTTGCGCGCCATCTTCTTCTGGGACCCGGTCCATACAGTCTCTGACGGCAACCCGGGCCGCTTCAGCGTTAGCATTGGCGGTATACTCATACTTCGTCTTGTTTTTCATAAACGTGATGACGGCGCGGGTCCGGACATCAATGGCATAGCCGCGATACCTTTCAAATGAATCCGGGTTCATGGTCGCCATCACATCCTGTAGTCTCTGATTCTCCTGTCGCAACCGTTCGACCTCTTCTGTCTTTTTATGGATTCGTTTTTGCAGCTTTTCCGTTTTGCTGCCGCCTGGTGACCCAAGCGAGAGTTGTCCAAGCCCAAGTGTGCTATTTTCCAATACGGTTTCCACGGCGGTGTGCACCTGTTGCTGACTATCATGTGTTATCTTCCGGAGCTTCTTCTCGAGCAGGGCAAGTGTGCGAGAGGGGCTGATCGTAGCATCCACGTCCTCGGCAATCCTACTCCTCTCTTGATGCACCTTCTCCAGCAGGGTTTGGTACTCCTCATGCACGTTTTTAAAAACAACGCCTTCCAAAATACGGCCCGAGTCCTCGTCCGTCCAGAAATATTTCAGATCCTCCGTTGGGGGGTTGTTAGCAGACCACTTGTACGCATCTTGGTGGCTTAACGCCACGAGGGCACGCCTCATTACGAGTTTTTCGGGTGTTATGTTGAGGTTGGCCTCCTGGTCGTACTTCGTTACAAGGGTCACGATGTTTCGTTTGTATCTCTTGCCCCATCCTGGTGGCAGCCCCTGGCTTAGACGAGTCCTGATGGGCGGGAGTTTCGCAGTGTCCAATAGCGCTTGCGCGATCGTGTCCCATCTCGTAGAAGCTACGGTATCGGTACTGGTTGAACTCACAGAATCCCCTCTTGAACTTCTAGGCCTTTGGTAAGGGGTCTTCGGCGACACGGTCGGTGTTGGCGTTTTTGGTGTCTTCGGCATTTTCGTGGTTGCTCGGTAGCGAAACTAGGTGGGCAGTGTTGCTGTTGAATCGCCGCTACGTACTACCTGACAACTTGGGGTTTATCAAGACCTTTGAACTACAAAGATACATGTGAGAGGCACGATGGCCGTGGGTCCTTGTTGCAGGAACCACGCGATTGTGTGGCCGGATTTGGAAACCGACGCACCAAAGCTATCAAGCACGACAAAGGGACCACACAGTGCGGACAAGTACAGGCATATACAATCTATTTCGGTGTCTCCCAGCAACCCAACATGCCCCATTCGGGCTGTCTGGGCATGAGACTATATGCATATCAATGCATGTATCTAGGTAACTAAATATGTACAACGAGAACATGAACTCTCCCTCAAATTTAAACCACCAACAAACTCTAGAAGCTTTTCTTCCACTTCATCCCGCTTGCCCAGAGCCATGCTGTCTCTCCCTCTCTCTCTCTCTTCTTCCCTTTGGAGTCGAGTTTAGAAAGGAGGGTTGGCGTTGGTGAGGAGCTGCTCAAAGTAGGCTTGGAACCACTGGCCGGCCTCGGGGGCAGGCTTGAGGGCATCGGCGAAGCCGCAGTGGTGATCATAGCGGGCAGCCGTGGTGTCGCTGGTGCCGTCGCACTCTCCACCGGGCTTGATCCAGACAAAGGCGTCCTCAATGTCGAGTCCAGTGTCGGTGGTCGGGCGGGGGCCGAAGCCAGTGCCGATGGCATTGCACCAGTGGCCCCACTCGAGCTGGCCGGTCGGCTGCTTTCCGGAACGGCCAGTGTCAGTAATGAAGTGGGCGGGGAAGCCGGCAGCAGTGAGGAGGGGGCTGAAGGCCTGGACAAAGCGCTTCTCGTCAAAGTTGGGGTTGGGGGTGGTGTACGAAGGAGCTGACGACAAGCTCCAGCCGTTGTAGTTGGCAACGTTGGTAGCGAGGCCGCGGAGAGAGGTGGGCCTGCCAGCGTCCTTGTAGATGCCAGCAAAGAGCTCAGCAGCGGGGCCAATGTTGGCTGGCCAGCCAAGCCAGCCGGCGTGACCGGCGTCGAGGTACATGGCGACGTTGGGCAGGTTCAGCTGCTTGAGGGCGTAGACTGTGAGCTCCTTGTAGGTGTTGGCGGCACCCTGACACTTGGGCACGTTCATGTTGGTCACCATGTTGGCGAGCGAGTCGGGCTCGATGACAAGGATGGTGCGGATGTCGGAATACTGGACGAGATGGTGACGGATGCGGTCAATGTAAGCCTTGTACTTAGCAGCGCCGCCATCAGCGATGGCCCACTCGCCGTTGGAAGCGGCAGCAGCGCAGTCACGATCGGGGAGGTCGTAGACGACAAAGATGCCGGCGTAGGGAGGGTTGGCACCGGCCCTGTTGGCGGCACGAATGTCGGCCAGGGTGCCGGAGAAGAGAGTGTCGACCGTCACGTTCCTGTCCATCCACTGGAAGCTGGGAACCTTGGCCACGGCGGCCGCCTTGGTGGCCATGGGCCCGGTGAGGCTGGGAATCGCCAGGGTGTGCACCTCGGACGAGTAGTAGCTGTTGGCCCACTGCTGGACACCCAGGAAGGGGTTGCCCGAGTAGCTAGCCGTGGACGAGGCACCGCCGCCGGGAGGAACCGTCACGGATGCCCCCGCGCTGGTGGTGGTGGTGGGCACGTTGACAGCAGAGGTCGAGATGCTAGAGCTAGTCGGGCGGCTGGAGCTGCTGGTGGTGGTGCGGGTAGAAGAAGGGGCCTGCGCCGTGGTGGTCACCTGGCTGCCAGGAAGACACTGCGAATACCACTGGTTCTGGGCAACGCAAGTACTGCCCGAGGCGCAGCAGGTCGCGCCGGTCCAGCCTTGGCCGCCACATTGGCTCCTGTAAAGCAAAAGTGGTCAGCACAGAGTTCATGGCTGGGGACAAGCTAGGTCGAGATTCGTTGTTTGGGAAAGGAAAGGGGTGGTTACCAGACAGAGCCGCAGTTTTGGCGTTCCTCGATGACAGGGGCTGCCAACGTGGTGGCTGCCAGAGCAGCCGTGAGAAGGAGTCTCTTGGCCATTGCGATGGGTGGACGGAGCTGTTGCGGGAACTCTGACTTTGATGGATTGAGCGGTGCGGGCTGCCAAAGCTCTAGAGACAGTCCATCAACAGCGAGGAGCACCCTCTTTTATGCCAATCCAACACACACACAACTGCCTTTGGGGTCAAAGGGGAACCCATTTCGGATCGACGGGAGCACGATCCTGAAGCTGGAGGGGAAAATCTCCTACGCGGGCGACAAACACCCACACACGCACCAGCCCACCATCATGGCCAGCTCATCTGGGCTGGGCAACGAGGAAGATCGCTCCGAGCGACGCCACCCAAGCAAGGTCCCGTCGGTCCAGGCTCCGAAAAGAAACAAAACACGGCGGAAGGGCCATGAGATGTGGTCATCCGGGGCGCCATCTCAGGTTGCCAATGTGGAGGTGGAGCAAGTCCAGGAACGCATGGGACCGAGAGCCGAAGAAGCGTCAGGCGTTGTTTATGGGAAACCTCTGAAATCTCCGCCAACCAGGTTAGCAAGAGGGCGCGTCGAAGCGGAACCGGGTTCAGACCATCGCACTTGATTGAGGTTGGATCGACTAGATCTCGGAAGCCTCGTTCCTGAATATCCACGATGGGAAGCGCAGAGCCCTCCGTCTGCGGGGAAGATGGGGATGGGGGGACAGGGGGTGGGGGTGCGGAACAGACTTGCGATGTTCCGGCATTGTCGTGCTCTGATTGACCCGCCGTTACCACCAAGGCGACTCTGCCATCGGTGCCATGGCACTAGCCGAGCCTGCCGAGATCTTGAGAGCGTTGCACTCTTGGCGGCTCGTCTGGGTTTCCATGCCCTCGCGGCCGAAAGTGGTCATTCCCAGATACCGGGACGGCACTCGCACGAGGTTTGCAATGCATCCTCTCTTTGCATCCCGTCTATCCGCTGCGCTGCGCTGCCGCTGCTGACTAACAATAGGCCGGTCCTTGATCAAGGCGCTCTCACCATCAAAGTGCTGCCGAGTCGAAAACAAGCTCAAGTCTGTCCGCTAACACACAGTCGACTTCAGTGCCAACGGTGTTGGCAAGATCGGTGCTATCAAAGAGTATGCCCAGCTCTTGACTTGTGTACCAGCTTGCACGGTCTAGATTGCCCGAACCAAGCACGGTATACTTGTCATCCACCATGATGAGCTTCAGATGAGAGTGCACTGGTTCTTCCTCTTTGGTATGTGTGCGCATTTTGAGACTCGGCCGGGGGCGGAAGTAAGAGATGCGTAGCCTTCCAAGGGGGACATGGCCAAGTTCCATCTCGGCGGGGAGAGACTCTGGCTTTGAACGCTCCGACTTCCGGAACCGGCGCAGCAGAGACCGAAGGCACCATGAAGTTGTGGTGCCCGCCGTCACGAGCTGCTCCAGAAGCATGAGATTGCGGCTGGTGACAATGTCAACATCAACTCCTCGCTGGAGAGCGCTCAAGACAGCGCGGAGCACCGCTTGACAGGTGAGATTCGGTGTCTGCACGTAGATGGACCGCCGAGCCCCGTCAAGAAGCGCAAGTAGTGCGACGTTGAGGGGCGTGCCCGGGGGTTTGGGGTCCTTTTGCCAAGGAAAGGGACGGAAATGTGGGTTCCGGTGACATGACGAGGGTAGCAGAAGAGTTGGAATAGGCGACGGAGATTCGGGGAGGAGGGCGGCGCGGCGGTGGGCGGCGCTGGCAACCAAGGCAAGCCCCGCCATCCGGACATCGAACGCCGGTGGCTCGAGGAGGTGGTTCCGCTCTAGGGGTGGCTGGACACCGCCGTGCTCGGGCTCCCAGGTCCGAGAATAAAACGACAAGAGGCCGCTGACCGCCGGCCCTGTCACCTCGACGCAACCCTCGAGCCAAGGCTCCCAGCTGACATTACAGCTGGGGATAAAGGCACGCTGCCTGTCTACAATGACAAACTTGGGGTGCATCACGCTGAAGGGCAGGAGGAAGAGACTTTTGGCCTGGAGCTGAATAGCAGCGCTTTCCAACAAAACAGGGTCTGGCAGGCCCAGGGCAGCTTGCCACGACGACGGCGGGTAGATGTAGCCATCTCGTGACTGTGGATGCAGCAGCTTCTGCAGTAGAGACCGTGATGAAAAGCAGACGCGAACTCGCAAGGGTGGGGTGGGAGTGGTGCCCCTGGACCTGGCGTCGTTGAGGAGCGCACGCCGGTGGGCGGCCAGCTTGACGAGAGCGTCATGGAGGGCCGAGAGCGTAGCTGACCCGGCCCAGAAGCAAGTCACAAGAATCACCTCGCGCCGGGCGGCGGTGAGGGCGGGAATCAGCACGTCGGTGTAGATGGAGGCACCAGTGCCCAAGGTGAAGCCGCATGGCGAGCTGTGCGTGACAAGCAGCTCTCGGTCCGACGCGTCACCAATGTCGAACCAGGGAATCTCAGCATGGCGGGTGGTGTTTTCAGTTGGCTGGCCGTGTTCCAGTCGCTTGACGAAGTCGTGTACAAGACTGGACGTGAAACTCATTGTTTTGTTGTTGTTGGGTGACGTCTACTCTACTTCGCAAGAGAGAGCCAAAGCACGCCCGAATGGTGCAGGCCACCTTGGCTTGCTGATAAGATAAGAAGACCTGTGGTCATCTATCTCTCTAGTGTTATGCTGCCATGCTGACCTAATCAATAGCCCGTAATTAACCAGACCAGCCAGCTCCAAGGGTAGGCAGTGTGCTATAATATATGTTAAGGCACCCAAGGCACCCAAGGCACCCAGTACGGCACCTAGTCCCCAAAGAATAATATATACAGCATAAGCGTGGGGGTTTCAAATTCAATATCATCCACCAAAGGAGCAAACTCGCCATTTCCTGCCCCCAGTCATCCATCTCAGCCTTCTCGGCATTCCCTTAAGCGGAAAGAACTAGTGATGTCAGTGGCTACCGCCGTCATTCGAATAACTAGTTGTAACAATGGGCCTTGCGATGTCGTGATCGAGACCCCCTGTAGATGCATAAGGCAGCGCGGGGAGGCGCCCCCCCTTTAACCAATAACAGTGGCGGATAGCATATGTCGCCATTCTAGCGGAAATGTGGCAATGGACTTGGACTCTTGTTGTGGTGATGTTGGGTATCTGGGGTTGCAGATTTTTGTCCTGCGCTTTGGCCTCTGATAGACGATGGCCGGTACCCTTTCTTATCCTCTATGCAGAACAATGATCGCCTTTGACGAATTCAAGCCATATCTGGTTGAGACGAGCCCGAGTCCCCCACGGAGGCTCACGGCTATTAAAGAGGAGTGATGTCTTGAAAATGGTGCGATGTTTTGCCTCTTGAGCTTGTCTTCTCATCTCAGGGCACATACGTAGACACGTGCCTTAATCGCCGAGACTCTGTCCGACCTTCCCCAAGCATCCCAATTACCATGACGGCCAAGCTCTCAGCAGATGCCCAAACGGCGCCTCCTACGGCTGACCAGGCAGACCAACATAATGACCAGAGTCTTCGGAAAGTGAAGGCCGAGCAAGACCCCTTGTCAGCCTCGCCGTCCATCGATGTCGAGCACAGCGATGTGGACGAAAAGTCACTCTTGCGCAAGATCGACTGGCGCCTCTTGCCCGCCGTCGGTGTGCTGTATCTGCTGTCCTTTCTCGACCGCAGCAATGTTGGCAACGCAAGGATCGAGGGCCTTACGGGCGACCTACACATGACCGGAAATCAATACCTCACCGGCCTGACGTTGTATTTCGTAGGCTATGTCATCTTCGAGGTAAGTAGCAGCATCTAATAGCCTCTTAAAGAGGCTCTGTACTGACAACGGGTCTTGGCCGGCGCCTTGGTTTGCTAGGTTCCATGTAACATCATCCTCAAGCGGACCACGCCTAGGTTTTGGTTGCCAACCCTGACCATTCTGTGGGGCATCGTGGCCACGCTGATGGGCATTGTTCAAGACTTGACAGGCTTTTTCATTGCCCGCTTTTTCTTGGGCGTCACAGAGTCTGGTCTCTTCCCCGGTGTGGTGTACTACTTTTCAATGTGGTATAAGCGACGGGAGAGACAATTTCGCATCTCACTTTTCTTCAGTGCCGCGGCCCTTGCCGGTTCGTTTGGTGGAATTCTCGCCTATGGCATCGGACACATGCGAGGGATTGTGTGGGAAAACGGCTGGCGATGGATCTTTATTCTCGTAAGTCGACCAACAAGTGGCCGCGTGTGCCTCGTGGCTTGTCGGTGATGGCAGTGAACTGACACTAAGTCGATGAGCAGGAGGGCATTGCTACCGTCGTGGTTGCCGTGTTTGCGTATTGGTTCATCTACAACTACCCAGACACGGCCGAGTTCCTGACAGCTAAGGAACGGAGTTTCATCCGGAACCGTCTTGCTGCTGACAGCGATGCCACCCATGACGAGCGTTTCACATGGGGCAACGTTGCCAAGGCGCTCAAGGACCCAAAGTGTTGGCTCTACGGCCTCAGTTTCCACACCATGAGCCTGCCTCTCTACACCTTCTCTCTTTTCTTGGTGCGTCAAACTTGAAACCGCCTGCTGCTGTCAAATGCCAGTGTTGGAATGCTGACAAAGGCCGGCCTTTCTTGCTCGTTAGCCCTCCATCATCAGAGATCTCGGCTACACTGCAGCCAACGCCCAGCTCTTGACCATCCCCCCTTATGCTTTCGCCTTCTTCACAACCCTGACGGTGGCAACCTTTTCCGAAAAGTACGGGCAACGCGCCATTCCGCTCATCGGCTCGGCATCCTTTGCCATGATAGGCTACATTATCCTGCTGGCCAACACGGACCCCAAGAGCCGGCCAGGGCTCTCATATACGGGAACCTTCTTTGCCGCCGGAGGTATCTACCCAGCGACGGCCTTGGCGCTGTCGTGGCCGGCCATCAACGTCTCGGGCCAGACAAAACGAGCAGTCGCCAACGGTATGCAGATCAGCATTGGAAACCTGGGTGCTGTGCTAGGAACACAGCTCTACCGGCAAAACGACGGGCCCCGGTACATTGTCGGGCACAGCTTTGCGCTGGGCTACTTGGCAGGAAACATCATTGTGTCGCTGATTCTGTACTTGATTTTGAAGAAGGAAAACACCAGGCGGGATGGCATCACGGCCGAGGTCAAGGAGGTGGGCGAGCTGCACGGGGACTGGGACGGCGACGACGACGCGCGGTGGCGTTTTCAGTACTGATGTACAGAGTACCGGATAATAATTCAGAAATGTCCAGCTTTTGCTTCATAATCCGTACATTTATTTGTAGTGTAGTGTGGTGTAGTGTAGTGTAAAGGGGTTCAGGGGCAAGGCTGCATGTGGAGATCGCCAAGTTCCAAGTTCTGAAGGATGGTGCTTGGCGGGTAAAATGTGCATCTGAAACAAGCTTTGCAGTCCTGGAAATCGAGAGTTCGTCCCGTCTGGCGTGTCTGGGTCATGCCGGCAGATCACGAGATTTGGGCTGGACGCAAAGCGTAGGGCAAGACCGGGCTATGCTTGGCTTTCCACACACACCCCGTGCCTCCCCTCCCTCCCCAAAGCAAGAGAGGCACGTAGTGTAGTGTAGGTGATTAAAAAAGCCTGCGTCGGACTTGTCAGACAGCCGCACCTCAGGTACCTGAACAGATCATGTTGCAGCACCTGAAAGATGCCAACACGTGTCCAGGGCTTTCCGCATCGGGAAGCTGCTGGTCCAAGCGCTCCCTTGTGCGCGCGCCAACAGGGGGAGGTGGTATGGATCAACGCGGTTTCAGAAAGCTTCAGACGGTCCAGAACACACGGGACACTGCCACCGTCAGCTCAACCCCTGCGCGGCCCAGCATCAGCAAGTGCAGCAGTGCCTGCCGCCAATTGATGGGTTGAGATTGATGATTCCTGACATTGGTTGATGAGAGCAATTGCCAATTGACATCCCGTCTCGTCTCGTCTTGTCTGTCTGTAAGATCTCGTATCCTACCTACCTATCTCCGTCCCCGATCGCCTCCTTACACCCCCCCTCCCTCCTCCCTCCATTTTTTTCCCTTTCCTCTCTCCCTTCTCTTCCTTTTCTTTCTTTCTTCTCTTCTTCTCCTTTGCTTTGGCTTTCTCCCTCCTCGCCCTTTCTCGTAGCTCCTCAGCCTCTGTGATCTAGCCATCAAAGAGACACTCACACCCTCTCGCTCACGACCGATCTTTCTCCCATTGTGGCCATCCAACTGGAACTCCAAAACCATCCGCCATGTCCGACGATGGCCCTGCTGCCGGCGCCCCGGCTGCTCCTGTAGCTGAAGCTGGAGGGGCTGCCGGCCACAGCCAAGGCGGTCTTCACAGCGAGACAAGACCAAAGCGCATCAGCACCCACAGCCCCGTGATAGAGGACATTGCTTCGCTCACCTCGCCCCGGCTCTTCACCCCAAATCCCTTCAGTCGCAAGAACACATCGTTGGATATTGATGATTACTTTGTGAGTTCCTCCTGACCGGTCGGTCCCTTGGCTGTGGCGACGGAATGGCTGGATGAACCCAGGTGCTGATACTGCTCTGCAGACAGGTCCACGCGATATCCAGAAACACTCCAAATGGCCCATCTTCCTCCAGATGCATGGCAGCATCTTGCCCAAGATGATTCTGCCCTTGCTCGCTATTGGCGCCTGGGCGTCTCTCATCACCATCCTTAGTATGAAGGTGTACATGCGTAGGTCCCTGTTGCCTTTTCTTTGTTTGCCACCGTGCGCACAACTAACGCAATGTCTTTCCCATATAGTCGGCATAAACAGCATTCTGCTCACCGTCCTCGGTTTTGTCGTCGGTCTGAGCTTGTCATTCCGCAGCTCCACGGCCTATGAGCGCTACAACGAAGGCAGAAAGTACTGGGCGCAGCTGATTCTGGCAACCCAGAATTTGGGTCGGATCTACTGGGTGCATGCTTCTGGCCGCAAGGATGTGCCCGAAGAGAAGAAGGACCTGGTGAAGAGACGCGAAGTGCTGGAGAAGCTGTAAGTCCCCATGCCGTGGAGAGTCTAGGCGCATGTGGGCTGACCTGTTGGCGTGACGACCAGCACCGCTATGAATCTTTTGGTGGCATTTGCTGTTGCCCTTAAGCACAAGCTGCGCTTCGAACCATACACGTGCTACGAGGACATCTCGAGTCTCATTTCACACCTGGATACCTTTGCCAAGGTGGCCACCGAGGAGGACCCCGAAAATGCGCACCGGACCTTCAAGCGCCCGAGTTTCTTCAAGAGCGTGGGCGAGTACCTGGGAGTGTCGTTTGCAGAAAGCAACCCACGCAAGTCCCTTAAGAAGGCTGCCGTCCCCCTGGGCAACCTCCCCCTCGAGATTCTGTCGTACCTTGCCTCCTTCACCGACGAGCTCGCCCTCAGCGGCCGCCTGCCCGTCACCATGCACCAGACCATGGCCTACAACAACATCATGTCGCTCAACGACGTGCTTGTGGGCACGGAAAGAGTGCTCACCACGCCGCTCCCCATTGCCTACTCGATCGCCATCGCCCAAATCACATGGGTGTACATCCTGCTGCTGCCCTTCCAGCTCGTCAAGGTGCTGGAGTGGATCACGATTCCCGCCACAGTTGCCGCGGCGTATATCATCCTGGGCATTCTGTTCATCGGTCGCGAAATCGAAAACCCTTTTGGCCAGGACGTCAACGACCTACCCCTCGAGGCCTATGCTGCTCAGGTGGCCGCCGAGATGGACGTGATCGCCAGCCGTCCCGTCCGCCCCAGCTACGAGTGGATAGAATCCAAGGACAACCACGTCCTGTGGCCCCTGTCCCACTCGGGCTGGCCCGTGTGGATGAACCGTCCCGAAGAAAAGATCCACGAGGCCGTCAACCACAAGGTCCTGGCCACCTTTCACAGCAAACGAGCCAAGGAAGAGGCGATTGCACAAGGAAAAGTGCACTCGGAAAAGAATGGCCACAAAACGGTGAGCGTGGAGGCCGTGTAGGCTGTGTAGGCAGAGTAAGGGGGCGTCTTGAATTTATGTATGAAGGAAAAACAGCGGGGCGAGGAAGTGTCGGGGGTTGGAAAATGGTCTGGTCATGACAAAATAAGCCAAAATGATGCATGGAATGGCGTCGAGCATTTTGGTTTCACTTTCTACAAATCTTTTTTTTCTCCTTCCTCCCTTTGCTTGTCTCATAACCACACGACAACGCTGGGGTTGTTTTCGTCACACATACCTATTAACCATCTAATAAATATTGATCATGCACATGGTTAGCTCTTCTCTGTCCCATTCTTCTCCCACCAAACTTTTTTCTTGGGCTTTCAACGATAGGGCAACGTGCGAGCCATCTCCTTGATGTCTCGATCCTGCTTGTACTCGGCAATGCTGTGCTTGCCGGCAACATGGCTGACCAATGTCTCCTCGGTTTTACACAACGTGTCTCGATCGCGATGACACAGACATAGGTAACAGGCGTACCCTGAATCTGGACGATGACACTTTGCCACAAACCGCGGGGTCAATATGAAGGACTTAGTATCGACCTTTTCGTCTTTGTCGCCGTAGCGACTTCCACGTGAAGATGATCTTCCTCGACGTTCCCAGTCCCGATCCCGGTCTCGGATAACCACCTCCTTTTCGATTCGCCAGGAGGATTGACACCCCTCTCTCTCATCTCGGCCCGCCGGGGGATTCTCTAGCAGGGTACCGCACGCCGGGCAGGTGACGTGGACCAGTGTGGGAGACGGGCTGTGCTGCAAGTCTACCGCATATGGGCAGAACAGAGGGCCTTTTCTGTTGGTACCGCTCCGCATGCCGTCATGATACAGATTGGCGGCTGCTGCAGGAGGGAGTGCTTTTCGTACAGGTGGATGGTCCCAGCCAGCCTCACTTGCTGCATCTCCTCGAAGAGAGGGCGTGGAGGACGTACGGCGGATGGGCGCTCCGGGCCTTGGCCCTCGTCTCGGGATCGGGGCGGACTGGAGGAAACGCTGATACTGGTCTTGGAGGGCGCGAATGCTGCCCTCGCGCGCAAACTCGGATGTGTTGTACAGCCTGCTCAGATCTGGCGGTTGGCCAGTAAGCAGGGCTTCCTCCAAGAGCTTGATGACGGTGCTCTGGAGTACTATGATTTGGCTCTGCAGCTGGGTTTGAGCGACCACTGGCCAGGAAAGCCAACAGTCAGCACGTCGTTCCTGGGGAAAGGTAGAGCGGGACTGGAGGTCTTACGGTCACCCCGGGCAAACTTTTGTCCCATCGTATTGTAGAAGCGGTCGTACTCTCGCTGGATACTTGGGCCGCCGTGCTGAAGAGAGCGTCGAAGATGGCGGGCACCATCATCGTCTCGGTCGTGGTCATCATCCGCATCGGAATCAGACGCGGAACCGCCACCCTTTGCTCTCTTTCTCTGACCCTGTTTGCCTTGCTCTTCCTTCAGTTTCGTCCTCTCTTCCTCGGCCGTGTTCAATCGCGCCTCGAGCTCCTTGATTCGTTTGTTTTGGCCCTTGTCCCGCTTCCTCTGCCGCCGCTGCTCGACCAAGCGGTCGTAGAGGTTGATGCCTGTGATGAATGTGCCTGCAATGGTCGAGATGAGCGTTGCGAGGACAAATGCTTGCTGCGGGAGCTGTCAGCTTTCACGTCGTCAAACGCAAGAGAGATGGATGCTCTACTTGCCTTCAACTCTTTTTTCTCAGCCAAGTTGGCAGCGTCCATGGCTGCTGCTGGTCGGTTGTCGATGGCGGCTTCTGCACAATAGACGGTCGACAGCGACGTTTGCTGGCCAGAACTGGAGGGGAATCACGGATAATTAAAGTAGGACATCTGATCGACATGCAATACGGCCCAAGTACCGACCCTGAGCCCAAGATGGCATTCCTCGGGCCCCCTCGACATCATCCCGCATGGGCTGTCTCGGTTCTGTGGTGTGTTGTGTCACGTCGAAGATACAGGGGTTCCAACTAATGACATCATGGGTGCTATTGAAGTCACTGGCAATTGGCTGCTGGCCGCCATTGGACGGGTGGGTGCAGATCATGCATCTGGGGCTGCTATAGTACTAGGTGTCGGATCAGCTTCATCAGCATCGGTTTGCATCCGAAGAACCAAGTGGCACATTTGGAAGTGCTGTTGTCTGCTAGCGTCAGCAGGTCAAGTGACCGCCGTATGATGATGATGATGACGACGCTGCAGCAAGAGAGGTAAGAGGTAAGTAGGTAGGTAGTGTTATTCTGTAGGTACTGCGGGTCACACCGTGGCTCGTGCACTTGCCCTTCACCCTTAGGTATCGTTCACAAATAGCGAACGGGCCGCCCGCCAGCTGAAGGCGGGGGTTTAGGTAAGGGGGCTGCCCCTCACCGCCCAAGCACGGGGGCTCCTGTCCAGCTTGAAACTGCCTGTGCTGTCCATCGGTGCCTGGACCCGACGCGGGTCGGGTGCCCTTCCTCGCAGCGCGTCCCCGGCCGATTTGAACCACCTACTCCGTAATATCCCCCGATCCAATTGAAGCTGAGCTGCAACCACCACGCGGACAGCAGGCCAACCTCACGATGCTGTCGGGAATCCTCATCTTCAACCAGAAGGGCGAGAATCTAATCTTCCGTGCCTTTCGCAACGACTGCCGCCCGCGTCTCGCCGATGTCTTCCGCATTCAGGTCATCAGCAATGCCCAGGTCCGCTCACCCATCCTGACCCTCGGCAGCACCACCTTCAGCCATGTCAAGCACGAGAACATTTACCTGGTGGCCATCACCAAGAGCAACGCCAATGCCGCTCTCGTTTTCGAGTTTCTCTACCGCTTGATCCAGCTCGGCCGTGGCTACTTTGCCAAGTTTGACGAGGAGGCCGTCAAGAACAACTTCGTCCTGGTTTATGAGCTCCTGGATGGTGTGTTTGTCTTGTTTGCTTATCTGCTTGTTGTCTGCCGCGGCGGCCGCTGCTAACGGTGCTCTCTCTCTCTCCCTTTTGCGCAGAAATTATCGACTTTGGCTATCCCCAAAACACCGAGACCGACACGCTCAAGATGTACATCACCACCGAGGGCGTCAGGTCGGAACGCGCCGTCGAGGACTCGGCCAAGATCACCATGCAGGCCACGGGCGCGCTGTCGTGGCGCAAGGCTGATGTCAAGTACCGCAAGAACGAGGCCTTTGTCGATGTCATTGAGGATGTGAATCTTCTGATGAGCGCAACCGGCTCCGTGCTCCGAGCCGACGTCACCGGTCAGATTATCATGCGCGCCTACCTGAGCGGGACACCCGAGTGCAAGTTTGGCCTCAACGACCGCCTGCTTCTTGACAACGACGGCATGCAGACTCTTCCGAGCGGGAACAGGCAGGGGAGCAAGGCAACCAAGGCGGCTGCCGGCAGTGTGACGCTGGAGGACTGCCAGTTCCACCAATGCGTCAAGCTGGGCAAGTTTGACAGCGACCGCATCATCTCGTTTGTGCCGCCTGACGGCGAGTTTGAGCTGATGCGCTACCGTGCCACCGAAAACGTCAATCTGCCCTTCAAGGTCCACGCCATCGTCAACGAGGTCGGCAAGACAAAGGTCGAGTACAGCATCGGTGTGCGCGCCAACTTTGGCTCCAAGCTTTTTGCCACCAATGTTATTGTCCGCATCCCGACCCCGCTTAACACGGCTAGGATCACGGAGCGGTGCACCCAGGGAAAGGCCAAGTACGAGCCGTCGGAAAACAACATTGTCTGGAAAATCGGCCGCTTCACCGGCCAGAGCGAGTTCGTGCTGAGCGCCGAGGCCGAGCTGACCAGCATGACCAACCAAAAGGCCTGGAGCCGACCGCCACTGAGTATGAGCTTCAGCCTCCTGATGTTCACCAGCTCCGGGCTGCTGGTCCGATACCTAAAAGTGTTCGAGAAGAGCAACTACTCCAGCGTCAAGTGGGTGAGGTACATGACGAGGGCCGGGAGCTACGAGATCAGGTCAGTTTGCCAACCCAACTGGCTTTTAGAGGTGGGGGAAGTGTCCAAGCTAACACGGCCATGCCAGGTTCTAACCCCGTTTACTAATACCATGTGTTTTCTTTGGTGTGTCGCGGTATCTGCTGCATTGCATAGCACTGGCGTTCGGCGGCGTTTGGTTATTTCAAGAGCATGCGAGAATCTAATGATACACAACTTGATCGGGAATGGGAAAAAAAGAAACACCGTCTCCCACCGTGGCAGACCAGGACATGGCAGCCCACGCCAGCGGTTCTGCACAACGGAACTTTGATGTCTCCTCGGAATCACGTACTCCCTTCGCTGTTGCATGTGCTACCTCTTGGAGGGTGACCGGCGGGATGGCCCCCAGAGCTGACGAGGTGGCGGCGCCCCGTCTCGATCATTTCTCTGGTTCCCATAACCTTATGTTCAGATGGCTTGCTGGCAAACCACTGATAGCAGCCTGCGGACTTCCGGTTAACCCTGATCTTCTCGCTTCGTTCCGAGAGCACCCTGACACCCGCCTCCATCCTTTAACCGCGCTCTCGTCGATGGCTTTTAGCGTAAAAGCCGCCTGGTTTTGATCATGCGCTGCTCTCTCTCTCCGTCGTGGCCTCGTTCTCTGCTGCTAGGTGCCGTGGCCTTGTGTGCCCTGGCCACCGCCCAAACCTACACAAGCTGTAACCCAACGGCCAGTGAGTGCCCAGATAGCCGTTTGAGGTCCTCTCAAGGGACAGATGGCAGCTGACCAGACTTTGTGCAGAGCGCTGTCCCCCTGATGTTGGCCTGCCCGTTCCCAAGTACAGCATTGACTTCCGCAATGGCCCGGATAACAACCATTGGTCATCTGTTGGCACGGGGTCCGTCACGTACACGCCCAATTTCGGCGCTGCCTTCACTATCAACAAGCAAGGTGACTCCCCCACCATAGAGACAGCCTGGTACTTCTTTTTTGGCCGTGCCGAGGTGCACATGAGGGCAGCCAGTGGCACGGGCATCGTCAGTTGTGTGGTCCTAGAGTCGGATGACTTGGACGAAATTGACTGGGAATGGATCGGCGGCGAACGGAAAGAGGTGCAAACCAACTACTTTGGGAAAGGGAACACAACCACCTGGGACCGTGGCGGCAAGACCGCCATGGGAGACACCCAAGGGCTGATACATAACTACACCATCGACTGGACCCCAAGCCTGGTAACATGGTATATCGACGGTGCCATTGTCAGAACCCTGGCCTATCAAGATGCCCTCGGTGGCCGCAATTTTCCTCAGACGCCCATGAGGCTGAAACTGGGCATTTGGGCCGGAGGGGATTCAAATAATCCAAACGGGACAATTGACTGGGCCGGCGGCGTCACCAACTACACCCAGGGACCGTTTACCATGTACGTAGAGAGCGTCTTGGTCACGAATCTGAATCCAGCGGCGAGCTATTTTTACTCGGATTTGTCCGGAAGCTGGAAAAGCATCTCCATGACAAATGTCACAACCGGGCCTGTGCCAAGCCAAGCCCCAAAACCGATGCCGGTAGGAGAGAGCGGCGGTGGCCAGGGTCGTGAGAAAGGGACAGACAAAAGAGACAAGGGCGGAATCACCAGTGACGAGGAGCCCTTTGTGACCCACGACGTGACCGAAACAGCATCTGGCGTGGCTTCCTCGGCGACCGGTTTTGTCGGACATGGTGGAAACCCCATCACAACAACCACCATCGTTTCCACAGACCGCCCTACGGAGCCTGCCTACATCATTTCCGGAGGAAGTAGCTTGACGACTCGATTTGGTCTCGTGGGGATCTTGAGTGTTGCGGTGTGTACAGTGGGAATGCTGGCAGCAGTTTAACTTCTTTGTTGGATTCGTATGGCTGGAGTCTTTCTTATTGAAAAGTTGATAGTATGGGCACCTACCTAAGCAAACCTTTCCTTGCAAAACTCATTAGAGACATTTAGAGAATATTAGTAGTTCAAAACGAAGACCTACTACTTACAAACTGCTCGACGTAAGCTCCATTGTGAAATCGTATCCGACTGGTTGCAAGCCTCGACCAGTGGCCTTCTTATCTTGCTGTCTGCGAGCAACTAGGTGGGTGAGTATGTAAGGGTGCTCAGGGTGGAAACAGAGGTCTTGGCCTAGCTGAACACACGATAAACCAAAGTCGAGTTAAGGTAACTCCATGTAGGCGATGTTGGAACCAATCTTGGATGGTTGGTAACAGGTTAACAAGGAACCCATAGAGCAACCAAGTCTCCCGGCGATCATCCCGAGCCTTCTGCAACACCATAGCAAGTTTGAGCTTAGCTGCTGATCGTATCTGTTTTCTACTTGACAACGTATGATACAAACCACTCGGTGCTCTCGAGGTAGTTATATCAGTCGTACCTGTCTCTCAGTAGGTAGGTACGTGCACGAGCATCGGTGTATTTACAGCATCTCATCCAACGATGCATTTGTCGTGACATGGCTCCTATGACACATTCACCCGCCACGGATGAATTTCCCGAGCAATTTTCACGAGAAAATCTCGAGGAACGTCTTCACAGGTACACCAGCAATGCCTCGGACGCGGCCAAGCTCAACGTAACACTCCCCGCTCTCACGCTAGCCTCCTCCACCTGTTCGATTCCTTGCTTCACACACGTTCCGTCTTGGAAAGTCTGACCACCAAAGGTGGCGGGACTAGACCTGTCGGATCTGGAAGTAGCACTACTCCCAGTCAGTCTTTTGGACAGGACGCTCGTGAGGCCGGAAGGCAGTCCAGTCAACGTGAAGCTTTCTCTCGATCTGGTCCCCGATTCGTAGTAGTTGGAGTTGATGAGCAAGATTCGGATGGGCTTGTTGTCCTTGTAGATGGCGTATCCCCCAAAGTTATTCGAGAAGCTATCCAACGGAGCAATTCTTTGTGCTTCTGCCAGGGCCGCCGTGATGAAGTAAGCCCCATAATAAGGGTTTCCCATACTGAACCTGCCCCACCAACAGTACTGACAGTTTCCGATAGTTCCCTGGTGGAAGTAGATAGATTTGATGCCCAATAATAGGGACTGGGCGACATAGTCTACGATCCACAAAGCGGCGCCGAATGTTGGGCTTATGCCACCCCCTCCTGCGAGAATGCTGTCAGTAGCCGCAGAAAACACAGACGTTATATAGGACAAACCTTGGGTTGCGCTGTTTGTCTCCCCCATGATATAGTCCTTGCCAGCAGCTCTGGCTGCCGCAGCTTCAGCCTTGAAGGGCGCAATCTGTGTCGCAATCGCGCTATGGCTCATGAGTCTTGCCAAATTGTAGGTCCCTGCCCACTGTGGGTAATTATGCGAGTTGAAATTTTTGACAGCTGCCATCGCGTTTCCTTCCTCTCTGGCCAGATTCGCATTGTTGAATTTGTCTGTCCCAAAGAAGACGCCCGCGGAGATGATGCTGGAAGTTGTCAGATTGCTGGCCAAGGCCCTCTGCCATTCAACCTGACTGGCACGGTCCCGAGCTGCGTTCCAGGTGCCACCAGCGATCGGGTCGCTATTCGTGTAGAAGTTGGGTTCGTTGCCGAGCTCGATCGAGTCCAGGTTTCTCATCCTTTGGTGAGCGAGCCTTGAAGCTGCGAGAGTGTTGCCCAGATTATTCAGTCGCCTGTTGAGTCCAATTATAACCTTCCCGGGGTATGAGGCCGCCAAGTCGAAAAATGAAGGGCCAAACGTCAGACTCATGGGTGCATCAGCGGGGTTGCTGACAGAGTAAGTGACCGCTGCCGATGATTGGGCATTATATGTTGCCCGGTCTCTGTTGATATCCATTAGAGCGTGAACCCGAGGTGTCTTCATGCAAGAAAGATATGCTTACTGCGTTGTTCCACCAACCCTTACCGGCGGCCATGAGCCGGTGAGATCTTTGAAGTTCTTCAAGCACGTCATGGTGGACGTGACATTTTCCATGTAGCCAGGGAAAGTGAAGAATTCCAGTCTGCCCTAGAATGTCAGCCAGAGGTGCCTTGAGTTTCACTCGAGAGGAGACAGGAGTTGACTTACGACACGCCCACCGGCGCCGGATCCAGGAGAGGACTGGCATTCGATGGAGGCGATGATGGCACGCTGTACGAAACAGCTGCTACTAGATGTGGTGCATAGCTTGCAAGCCACAGGAAACTCAATCTGCTCACCATCATTGTTAGATAGGAAAACCAACAGGAAATAGTATACAACTTCCAGACAACGAGTTAGTTATTGGTCATAAGGACGTCTCCATTTTATCCTATATTGAAGATCTCTGTCAACACGAGAAAGGTTGCGTTGCAATGCTTAGTTCGGGTTGCGTGTGGCATACAGGGGTTTGACAACTGGAGGTAGTAGTACCCCTTGCTGCAAAAGCTTGGAGCCGGCAAAATACAAACATGATGCGGAGAAACTTAGTTCATTGGTGGAAATAATAGGCCGTCGAAACTGGCTTGCCATGGCTAAAAGGAAGGAACCGTTTGTTTCACAGGGACATCGGAAACAACCCAATTCAGTCTCTACGAACATGACATCGAGACTTAAGGACAATGGCTAGGAAGACTCAGAGCTCCTGAGCTTTACGATGGGAATTTTAGCTCAACTAGCTACACAGCACTATAGTAACATAATCCCTGCATCGTTTTTCGCGCTGATCTGTATCGCAGAACGACATGTCGGGCTGTTTAGCGAAGTGGGCAAGACATAAAGCCATTCTCATGGAAGCTAGACTCTATAGGCTGCTGGGATTTGATATGTTGAGCGGAAAACCGTCGCGTTACTGGAGGCCAATGTACACTCCAGTTCCGTGGCTAAAGGCCGCCTGAGCTTCTTCCAGTTTGTCGGGGGCTCCCTGGGTACCTAGTTATCTTACAGAGGGAAATTGTTGTAGCCTGGAAAATGCCCGGGTAATAGACTGAAGTATATGTGTGACGAACCCCTGTACAGAACCTCTGAAAGGGATACGGGTTGAAGGCTACTTCTGACAATTGGTTCGGTGCAGCTAAACAGTGCACAACAAGATGTCTCAATGTAAACACAAGATGCCGTGAATACAACTGTGAAATTGCATACTGGGGAACTGTCTATCTACACCAGCCAGTTCCTCCGTATATATAGACTTCTTTTCCCAGCCGTGCTTCCTCTGATCAGTGTCCTGAGCATACTGATCACTTACGCTCAGCCTGATCAGTGTCCTGATCATACTGATCATCCCGGTCTGGTCTGCTCAGTCTGATCAGTGCTCTGATCGCACTGATCATCGTCCCTCATTGTGATTGGCTCTCCTGGGTGTTTTCCCGATTGGTCCCTGCTCCCGCGGTTCCACAACCAATCGTTATTCTCGTCCATATACCAGGGTTGTGACAATATGCCGTAATTTAATAAGATTCTAAGTGGAAAAAAAGAAAGTAGAGCAAACACCAGATATATAAAATATATTTTAATAATGGTTTTACTTTCTTACTTGTGGAAACTTAGCTAGCTAGGTCCCTATAGGTAAAAAGCTTGTTTATAGGGGTTAAAGTAAAGAAGTCTGGAGTTATGAGATATTTACGTTACTTCCGACGATTAATTAACCGTATTTCCTCCCGCTAACCTCGTACTATCCCGATATTATACTTTTCCCTTCCGCCCTAATCGAAAATATAACTTTGATATTTAATCTAATTATTATATTTATTTAAAAGTGTTAAAATATGTGTATATTATAAATATTTATTTAACAATTATTAACAACTGGTTTTTTAAAGGTTAGAGTATTATAATTTTTTGGATTATATAAGTCGTTAAGCTTTTATAGTAAAATAAAGTTAAATATATTTTCTAATATAATATAATGCTTAATATACCAGTTTTTTTTTAAAAAGTATTTAATAGGGAATGATATTGTATTAATACTATATTTCTTAGTACCAATCTTACAATTTATTATATCATATGAATGTTTTTATATATTGTTTGTTAAGGGCTTACAACGCTGTTGTTTGGGATTATTTTAGTCTCTTGTTACTTGCGTTTTATTTTGCCGTTATGATAATAGGTAAAGCTACTATTCCCGTCTTTTACATTATGTTCCGAGCGCTTTTTTTTTATTAAATTTCTTTTTTTCATTATAGCTTTACTTACGATAATGAAACTAAAGAAAAAAGGATAATCTTTAAAACGAAAGTTCATAAAGCTCTAGATAAAGAAAATAATTTATTTAATATATTTTAATAAAATATTATAAAATCCATTAAAAGTTAGTTTTAATATATAAGCCTAAAGGCCCTATAACGGTAAATATTAATAGTTTTTATAGTGTAGTAGAATTAATTTATATAAAACCTATAGCTTACTGTCACGAATATAATATGGACACCCGAAAAGAACAACCAATAGGAAAGAGGAGGCACGGCAGCTAATTAAGAGAAAGGAGGATAGACCAATAAGAGGTGGATTATCCGGGACATAAAGGAATCATGAGCGATTTCTAGGAATCACTTATGAGCCTTAAGAGTTAGTTAAAATCCGGGAAGAAACAGAATAATCCAGGCTTAGCATTAGATCTATAATACGGAGGAACTAGATAGCTTATAAATAGTTCCGCAGTATGTAATTCACAATTATATTTACGGTATTTTGTATTTATATTAAAATATTTTATTATATACTATTTAGCTATACTAAACTAATTATTAAAAGTAGCCTTTAACCTATATCCCTTTCAGAGGTTCTATATAAGGGTTCGCCACACGTTATATACTTACTTTAACTCTATTACAGATAAGTTAAAAGTATTAAATTAACGCTATAGCCGGAAATGTTAATACTTAGATAGGGATATTTACTTAACTTACTATCGATTAGCTTTTCGCTTATATTTAAAAGTTTAAAAATAAATTACGCTTTTCCCACGAGACCCTTATATAAAAAAACGCTATACTCTACTAAAAGATCGGGACTTTACGTAAGGAGGGAGAGCGTATTAAGCTTAAGGCACCCGACCGCTACGGAGGTATAAAAGGAAAGCTAGGAGGATTTCTAATCTAGCTTAAAGCTTACTTTCGGTATTACCCTTTTTATTTTCCGGATAAGGAGTTTAAAGTTATATATATTACGTCTAGGCTTAAAGATATAATATTTATATAGTTTAAGCCGATTTTAAGAGATTACTTTGATAATATATATAATAAAAGGAAGGATATTAGTTAAACGTATTTTAAATCGTATAAAGACTTTAAAAAGAAAATTAAGGAGGTATTTAAAGAATATAACGAGGCTAAACGTGCTTAAGAATAATTAATTAACCTTAAGCAGACTCGATCTACTACCGACTATACTATAGTATTTAAGATAAACGTACTCCGTAACGTAATTAACGATAAAGGGTTAATATAATTATTTTACAACGGACTTAAAGAAAAAGTTAAGAATAAACTATATTAAATAGAGCGACCGGAAATTATTAACGAGTATATTATAATAATAATCTATATTAATAATTAATAATATTAATATCGTAAAGAGCGTAAGGGTATACGCGTGTAAAGACCGTATTACCCGAATAATAATAATAAAAAACGGCCTTACGGGACTTACGTTTTAAGGACTACTTAAGTAAAACTTATAAAAGTCGATACTATTTAATAATAAAAGTCGTAAGGCCGGGATAAAGGTAAAAATAATTATAAATATTTTAATTACAGTAAAATAAAATACTTTAAAAAGGACTATAGGGTATTTAAGTAATTCGGATAGAAAAAGGAGATTGCAATAATTATTATATTGAAGGGACCGAGGGTTATAGAGATTATAGCTAACGTGCGTAATAAGCGAGCGCAATAGACAAGCGAGCGGAATACTTTTTAATATCCTACTATAACTATCCTTAATTATATAACCATAATACTAGCAAACTACAATAACTGAATTAGAAATAGATGAATCAGATAATTCTGTAGCCTCCTTGCAGGTACGTGTATTATAGCCAGGCTTGCCGCACACACCATAGCACCGAATCTTCGTACGAGACCCCCCTACACTACTATTATTCTGTCGTATTTCCTGGGCTACCTGCTTACCTATAGCTTTTTAATCTAGTAGATCCTGTGCCTTTTATATAGTAAGTAACCCTTTAAGCCGCATACGTGTTTTTTTTGGCTCTCCGTCTCTTACTAAGCTCCTTATTGGCCTTACGTAGCGAAGAGACCTTTATACGGAGAAGAGTTACCTCGTATATTATACTTATTACTTCCTTAGTAAATTAGTCTATAGCGGCTAGTATTAAGGTTAGAGAGTTACCCTAATAGTTAGAAATTCGAGTTTTAATAAACATTAACTGTAAAGTAACCTCCCGAGGGTTATATAGCGTTTAAAAGACCTAAGGTAGTACTGTAGTTAGGCTCGAGGCTAGAGGTATTGGAGTCCGAATATATATATTTAGTTTAGATATTACTCTCTTTAGGTCGTACAGTATAAAGCCGGCTCTAATAAAACTACTTTAAATATTTTTTTTATAATCGAAATAAAAAATATTTCTCTAAATATATAAAGAAACTCTAATTTAGTAATATATATAATATTTATTCGTATTAATTATTTAATTTAGCGGTTATACGCTTTTTTTAATAGCGTAAAATAATTAATATTTAATAATTAAAGTATATAAAAGAAGTACGGAGGTATATATAGTATAATAATATTATACTTCCGGCAATTTTTTGAAGTAGTAACTTTCGTAGCCGTTAAAGATTAATAACCGATATTTATCCTTCGTACGAAATACCGTATAGAAATCGAAGTACTAAATTTAATCTATATTTTTTTTATTAATAGTCTAACTATTATCGATTATTATAATACATTAAGTAGCCGGAAGGCTATACTCTTAATATTAATTAATAAAATAATATTACCCGGCTAAAATAATAAATAATAAAATAGTTTAACCTAAAGTATTTACGCTCTAAATAACCGTAACCCACTTACGATTATTAAACTAAACCTATTTAACTTTATTACGGCTATTAAAAATTATAATTATTATACCCGCGAAAAATAATACCTATTATAAACCTAATCTCGTCGAAGTTATAGATATTATTATTTACGATACCGTACTTAACCTTAATATTCTATATAAAGGTAAACCACTCTCTAATAACCTTTAAATCCTCGCATTTAGCCCTCTAAT